AGAAAATTCGATTGATAATTTTTTGTGCTGGCCATCGTCATTAAATGTAATGAATTGTTTCAATGAAATGCATAAACCGCATCTAACTAATACAGATTTACGCTGCTCAAAATTAAATGTCAAGGAGATAATGTAATTTTTTTTTTATTTAAACCTTAAGTCATTACTTTTTTTCCTTGTTTTTTTTACAGCCTTTCATTCTGTATATGTTGTTTTCAGTGTTTAGATATATTCTTTATTATATATTCTTTATTATATAATGTATTTAAAACATTTTTAAATTGAATGAATATTCTTAGATCATGAGTTATGTGATAAATTTGAATTTGCCACTACTAGTGATACTCAGATAGAATCAGATTCAGAAAACGGTAACTATTTTAAAAGATACTTTATTCAAGTATTATTAGTTTTATTTTAATATTTATTTTTATAGGAGCCACTACCATGCTTATGCAAGAGAAAACATAATAACCAACAGAATAGTAAGCAACTACCTACTCCTGTAACGCAAAAAAAGAAACAGAAAACAATTTTTATGCATACTCCACATAGGTATTAATTGTCTGTCTGCAAGTTGATTTAGGAAGAAAAGATTCTGAACATTTTTTTCTATGCTTCAGTGATTTACACATTTTATTGGTTGCTAAATTAATGCATTTAATTTAATTTATGAATAATGTTTTATTTTATAAATGTTTTGTTCTTGTGTTATAACGCTTTTATTAATGTTTGGTTCTTTTGTCTTTCTGATATATCTTTATTGTTAGAAAGAGATGTTAGTAAAAACTCTTTCCAGTATTTAAAGTAATATCATGACAAATAGTTCTGAAATTATATGGATGAACTTGCAGCAGTAAGTTAATGATTATGATAACAGTTTAAATGATTCTTGGGTGAGGTCAGAATTGATGGGTTGTTTCAAACCATGCCTTTTTACAGTTTTTTTATTGTTTTTTGAAAATATATTTATTAATAACTTAGCCTAAGTTAATCTACTTGTACCTTTTTATAAATGTACTATAAAAATAATGTGGTGTAATTATTTTCTTAAACCTTTAGGTTAACAAACTTTTTAAAATTGGAGGTAAAATTATTAAGACAAATACAAAAAAATGTGATGCTAAGGTTTGTTAAAAGTAGTTTTAAATAAAAAATCTTTTGAATCTTTTTATTATAGTTTGTTTTAAACTTGTGTTAAAAATATGTGTAGCATATATTTTTAAAAGTTTGGGAAGACATAAAATAAATCTTTTTTTTTTGTAACTGCTTTCTCTTACTTTTGTATTTCCTTGAGCTAAAGAACAACCTTAAAGTACAAAGGTTGATTCGTAACGCATACTTAACCTTTTTTTTTTACTCGATATATACATACATATTTATGTACATAAATAAAACATACATATATATGTATGTATATATAAATACATATGCTTATATGAATATATTATATATATATATATATATATATATATATATATATATATATATATATATATATATATATATATATATATATATATTTGCAATAACTGCTTCATTGCATTGTGGCATGCTTGCAATTTATTTTTTATATTTTCTGTCAACTCTGGGTTATTATGCGCGATCTTGTTAATCTCCATAAGATTTTGCTTATTAGTAATATTTTTTTTTTTCCAATTTCTTGCTTTACTATTTCCCAAATGTTTTCTATCGAATTAAGATCATGCGAGTTGTCTGGCTATAGCAATACATCAACTAAGCCATAACAGTTTTTACACATGTGGCAAGTTGCACCATCTTGCATAAATATAAGATTTTTGACATTATTTTTAATATTTTTAAATTTTTTTGTCAATTTTTGACTTTTTTGGCTGGACATCAATCCCTCTTCTTTTAGTCTTCTACAAATGGTCCGGTCTGACACAACAATTACAGCTTCATGGATAAGCTTAGTAGCTTTTTTTCTGTTTTCCAGGCAGATATTTCTGATTATACTGCCCGCTCTTGGTGTTTTCTTGCATTTAGAAGGTGGTCTGTACCAAACTCATCCCCTGTATCAGGGGATGAGTTTGGTCCAAGGAGACCACCTTCTGTTCTGTTGGAGTTTGGTCCAATTCTTTTTCTTACTTGCATTACGGTTTGGTAAGAAACCTTTGCGGTTTGTGCAATTTTTCATTGAGAATAATTTGTATTTTGTAAAAAACATGTTTATCAATTTTTAATGTAACTATAATAATAATAATAACAATGTATAAAGCAGGTTGTTAACCAATGGTTTATAATCAAAATTTAATATGGCTGGCGGTAAGGGTAAAGAGAAGTTTAAAGGAACGAACATTAGGTATTTACTTGTAAGTTAAGTGTAAAATTATATATTTTTTAAAAAATCACAGTTCGTTTTTTTAATGCTTTTTTATTTTTAACTTTTTGATGTATTTGATGCAAATTACTCAGGCAATACCTTTTTTATAGAGAGCGTTTTGTCAATTAAAGTGACTGCTACAGTTTCCGAAATAAGAAAAGGAATAATGACTTTATTAAAATACGCACTCGACAGATCAAATGGTGGTGGTCGGCGCGTAAAAGGCGATTAACCCGATGTATAACATTCATACTTTTTCCCAGTTGTTCTGGAACTATTGATAATAGTTATTATTGATAAATGGATAAATATATTACTGATAAATAAAACTTTTTTTTCAAACATTTTATTTTATTTGCATTGTATATAAAGTCCGTTAAAGCAATTTGGTTGTATCTGATTAATTTACGTGAAATATAATATCTTCTGCGCAAATTATTGCTTTTTTATTGTGTTATTTTATTGCAATTAAAGTTGAGATAATTTTTTAGTTAATTGGATTTAACCAAAATAAAAAACAAAAATCAACGTTGAATTTACGTTGTTTCAACGTTGTTCTAACGTCTTATCAACTACGTATCAATCGAATATATCACCTATTCAAAGTTGAAATATGGTTGATATGTAGTCGATAAGACGTTAGATCAACGTTGAAACAACCTATTCATCGACGTTGTTTCAACGTCATAGTTTTCGACGTTGGATTTTATTTCCAATTCAACCAAATTTCAACGTTGTTTCAACGTGGCATATGGTGGGTTTGCGACGTTGTTTCAACGTTATTTCAACGCCATTGTGCCTGTTGGGAATGTAATTATAGTAATTTAAAATTTGTAATAACTTTTGATTCTTAAGAGCTTTTATAAGGTAGGTACACTGTAATATTTTTTTACATAGTATGAGAGTGAAAATTTAATTTACTTGTTGAAACGTTTTAAAAGTAATTTCAAGCAAAGAAAGAAAATAAACTTTTTATTAAAAACCACATGAAAGTGATTTCAAGATTTTTATAAAATATTTATATGGAATATTTTGAAAAGAAATATAATATTTTATTTATGAAAAGAAAAAGATACATCGTTTTAGAAAAACTTATTTGCGTTTTACTTTATACTACATATATAACTTTGATTTAAAAAAAATATATATATATATATTTTCTCTTGCTTAACCTAACACACTTAACTAAAGTTTCAAGAAATTATTTGTCTAGATCATGGTTGAAAACTTTTTTTTCATTGCAAACTGTACTCGTTACTTAAGCTAATAAATCAAAATGTTATTTATAGATAACATTTATTAGCTTAAAACATAGAAATAATTTTTTTAAACTAACTTATCAAATAATAATGAGTTTATTTATGACATTATGAAATCAAAAGCTAAAAAAACTAACCTGGATTGCAGTTGTATTTGATTTCTCAGCTCTGAGAAATTCAGGATATAAGAAAAATAAAATATAAGTTGCAGTCTTTTCCACATCCTTTACCTTCCTTTTGTCTTAAGTTTGGGATTTGTTTGGTCGAATTATAAAGAAGCATGATTTTCAGAACTCTTCAGATCAATAAATACTTATTGCCATAAAAAGTGCATGGTTTACTGCCCTAGGCTTGTGAATGCTGAAGAACTTATATATATATAATATATACTAATAATGTTAGTCTTTATATTTATATATAATATAAATATAAAGACTAACATATATACTTTTTTCTATATGTTAGTCTTTATACTTTTATATATATATATATATATATATATATATATATATATATATATATATATATATATATATATATATGCATATATATAAAGACTAACATATATAAAGAGACTTGCGCAAACAACTTATACTTTTTAGAATTAAGTTTCTCTCTTAAGAAAAATCTGTCATTTAACTCAAAATAAGGAAATATTTAGCAAAAAAACACCTGAAAAAAAATGACTATAACCACATCACAACCTTTAGCATTTATAAATCAAACAATGGTCACATATAACTAAATTTACTTCTGATTAAGACTGATATATATATATATATATATATATATATATATATATATATATATATATATATATATATATACATATATATATATATATATATATATATATATATATATATATATATATATATATATATATATATATATATATATATATATAATTGTCATATTTTTTTATTCTTATATAACACTGGACACTCTGTGTGTACACCAGAGTATCTTTTTGTTGGAGTATCCTTATGTGCTATCCCAAAAGGACATTTCTCAAGGTATCATATCAGGATAATAATTTAATACACTACAACTTAATAAAAAATATTTAAATTTCTTTAAAAAACTTGCCAAATATTGTTTAACATACAAAAAATAAAAATACAAAGTATATCATTTAGATAACAAAAGATATAAACCATTTGTTTGTTTTTTTATAAATCAAGTCAAATGATAAAATTATAAAATTAAAAAAAATCTTTCAAATTTAAATAAACCAATCTTTATTAATGTTTATTATATAAGGTTTAATTAATCTAGAAAAATTCCTTATATAATCAAAAATAAAGTAAAAATAACTTTAGATTTTATACTTTATTGAACACCTGCATAGTTATCGAAAATAACTTACAATAACGCCAAAAAGATTTTGAACTTACCTAAAATAGAATGCAAAAGAATGTATTTTTCATTAGACTTTTTTGAAGAATTCTTGAATAGATTCTTTATAAATTGAATAGATTGAATAGATTTTTTATAGGGAGTTTGTGAAGGATTAGAAGGATTTATGGAAGGATTCAGGTTAACAAGAAACTTTAATAAACTATTTTGACTAGTATTAGATAATCCACAAATCATTGATAAACAACTATTCAGCTTTTTATTGGTCAAAATTTCTTCACTACTTAAACAATTAAATGCATATACAGATGCACAAAACTCCATTATTGTCAAATGAGCGAACTGATAATAACATCCCAGATCTGTTTCAATCTTTTCCAAAAATCCAAAAAAAGTTTCATTTTTATTAAAGTCACCAACAAAAGTTTGAAGTTCTTCTTTCGAAAAAATTACTTTATTTACAACAAACAATTCATATGCAATTTTACAAATATTTAAAATATATATTTTATTAGAATCGTTTTCCATTATCTGATAAATCATTTCATTGCTTTTAATGATGTGTTTTTGTAAAAAGTATAAAAAAATGTTTGCATACAAATCTGTCATTGTTAAGATATTCCTTGTACTTATTTTTTTTATATTACTGATAATTTTACACATAGAAGATAAATAAAAAGGAACAGAAGCCATGGCTTTTGCAATTGGATTTTCCTTTAAAGTTGCTTTTACAATTTCTTTATTTTCTTCTGTAACATGATTTTCGACATAATTCATTATTCCATTTTCATTAAACCCCATTATTTGAATGGTTAACTTGTCACTATGATCTGTATATATACTTTGGTATTGATCAATGGCATAATTTCTACCAGCAACTAAATGTTTATATTTTTTAATTTCTGCTAAAACATTAACAATCGGATAGTTACAATTTAATCTTAGATTTAATAACTCATTGAAATATTTAAACTCATCTAATCCATCAATTATAAACAGTGCAGTGCAAATACTAATATTAAAGTTACTTATAATATCTTTGTAGAAAAAGCTTAGTAAATCATTAATATTAGAAACATTTTCATACTGATTTAGCCTCCTGCATTCTAAATAAAATACAAGTTTCACATTTTTCCAAATTAAATTGTTTGACCAATCAAGCAAACATTTTCTAAGCAGCCATGTTTTCCCGATACCAGCAACTCCAGATATTAATATTACTGATTTTTCGCTCATAAATAGTTCACTATATGGAATTGGTGTATAACACATTTGCTTTTCAAGAAATTTCTTTCGTTCAACACTAAAAACAACATCCATTTGTGGCTTTGCTGAATTAACAATACATAGATCAACAAATTTATGCATTAGATCAACATTTGCAGGTGCTTTTAATAGTGGTTGAAGTTCACTAATTTTTCCATAATTTTCAAAATAAAATTGTTTTAGTTCCGCAGACACTCTTGACAAATCTAAATAAAACAAAACAACTTTTACTAAACCCATCATCATGATTTTACTGATGTTCTTGCTCGTGATAATGACATTCATTATTACTATAATTTCAATATAAACAAAAAATAGCTATAATTATGAACTTGACATAAAATTTCATATAAATTTAAGGAATCTATAAAATGCTTGTTAATCTGAATTTTATTGATTTAAGAATAAAGTTACTTAGGAATAAATTTATTATTTTTAACAAACTTTTTTATTAGTTTTTACTCAAAGTTAAAGTTATTACTTCGAACAAACTCTTCAACTGATTCTCAAAAACCTCTAAAACAACTATGACACTTAGGTTAAAATTATTAATAAAAAAAATATTTTTATTTTTAATTTATTTAAAGCTAAAGTTAAATAACTTAACTAAGTTAGCAAACCTTTTTTTTTTTCTCAAAGTTTGAAGCCTTTTAAAAACAAAAAGATCAAAAAATAATGTAAAAGTAAAGTACTAAAATTTCTTAATATAAAAATTCTAGTGAGGAAATAACTAAAATCATTTTTATTAATTTGATTTTTAATAATAGTTATTAAAATTAAAGTTACAAAAAATATTTATCCAAATAATTTTGTCATTATTTTGTCGAGAAATTGTCATTGTTAAGAAAATTTATAAATTTAAATCAATCTTATCATCATACCCTAATTGATATCAACAAATTTAACGAACTAAAAGTTATTTACTATTCAAAACAATAAAATAACGTTTTAAATAATATATACAACATTCAGTCTTTTTCATTTAGCCAGCGCTCTTGCGCATAAGTCTTTTTGCGCTCGCACACAAAAAAGCGCTAGCCAAAAAACTAAAAGCGTTTTGTTTTAAATTGCAACAAAACTTTTTTGCTCATTTGTGTGATTTTTATGAAACGTGGCTTTTTTTGAATATTTTTAAATTATTTTATCTAGTAATTATTTACAACATTCTGTTGGCTAAGTTTATTTTTACTTTAATAGCAGAAAAAAATGAACTTTTTAAATTGAGCAGGCTACCTTAAAAATTATTCATTTTGTCAGCGCTTTTTCGTGCACTGGTATTAAATTTCAAACAGAGAAGACTAAATGATATATATGAAACCTGCAGGTAAGGTATCTAATAATAAAATTAAAAAAAACAAATTACTTCAGTAATTTATTAATTCAACAACAAAGTTATTATTTAAGCTTAAAGTTGTTACCTCAAACAAACTACTTGGTTATATTAGAAGTTATTTAAAATTAAGATGTGGCTTCAGCAACTTTTTAGATCCATGTTATCATGGTGTGGCTTTATATTGATTTTCCCCAGCAACATTTAAAAAGATAAAGCATGAAATCAATAATGAACATTGTTCTTATCAATAGGCCTCAGCAAAACGATGAGATGTTTTGAAGGAAGTTTTATATAAAGATGGTTATCTTTATAAAGCCTGAAGAGATGAAAAAAAGTTGCACACCTAAAGGTTGGAGCTATTGAGAAGCCTCATAAAATTGTAAACTGTTAAAAATGAATAAAAAAACTTTACCTTTCCTTTTAATTTTTAAAAGTTAACATCTTAGATAAGTTTTTATATAACTAATTAAGATAAAACATCTGTTATAGTATGTAAACTTATCCTATATATTTCTTTATAATAAATTACAATATTTCTAGGGGTTATATATACCCTCGTTATTTAAGTAATATTAAAAAAAAAAAACGTTAAAAAAAAAAATGAAAAAAATAAAAAAATAAAAATAAAATATAAACTTATAATAAAACTTTAATGTAATGTGTTCTTGCGTCTTAAATGAGAAAAATAAGGTTTCCAAAACGATGACACAATGTAATTGCTGTCGCCTCCATTCAATCCACTTTCATTTGGAGAGCACTGGTGATACTGAATTTCCAAAGACTCTCTCACTTTTTTTTTAAAATAGTCTTCCTCTACTTTAACAGTATTGTTTTTATTCCAGCTAAAGGCACCATGGCAATTTCTAGAATGCCCCGCTACAGCTGAATTTTTCCATTTTCCCTCAAAAGTATGTTTTTGATGTTGGTAAATGCAATTTGAAACCTTGAGTTTTGTTTCACCTACATGAAGTTTTCCACACGAACACTCCAGTTTGTAGACTCCTGGATAAGAGTTGTTGATTTCGAGGCTTGATTTTATGAGTTATTAATTGTTGAAGGTTTTTTGGTGATTTAAAAACTGAAGTATAGCCAGCATTTTTAAATATCTTTTTTAATTGATTACTTAATTTTGGCACCCATGGCAGAGAAATATAGTTAAGTTGTAGTTTTTGATGTAATTGTTGTTTATTGATCATTTTGCTTATTGTTTTTAATTTTTTTAACAATGTTTTGAAGTATTTTTTTTTATAACCACTTTCTATAAACATTTCTGTAAGAAACTTTAATTCATTATTTATGTTTTCTTTACTGCATAATGCAAAAGCTCTTTGGATAAAACCTTTAAGTACACCATAAATTATATTTAGATTGTGACAAGAATGCGGCTTTATTTGCACATTTGTTATTGCATTATTGTGATAGATATTAAAAAGATATGTTGCAGATTTGTTATTTGTTATTGAGAGATCAAGAAAATTTATAGTGTGTGAGTCACTTTCTTTTTCAATTGTATATTTGATCTTTGTGTGTTGGTTGTTTAACAAGACAAGAAAACATTCTGATTCTGCCTCGCTATTAAAACGGGAATGGATATCGTCAACATACCTTTTGAATGATTTTACACATTTTCAGCGGTAGCGAGGGATTCCAGAAATTGCAATTAGCTGGAATAAAAACAATACTGTTAAAGTAGAGGAAGACTATTTTAAAAGAAAAGTGAGAGTCTTTGGAAATTCAGTGTCACCAGTGCTCTCCAAATGTAGGTGGTTTGAATAAAGACAACGGCGATTACGTCACCTCGTCGTTTTGGAAACCTTATTTTTCTTATTTAAGACGCAAGAACACATTACATTTAAGTTTCATTATTTGTTTATTTATTTTTTTATTATTATTTTTTTTTTTTAACGTTTTTTTTTTTTTATATATTACTTGAATAACGAGGGTATATATAACCCCTAGAAATATTGTAATTTATTATAAAGAATATTATAAAGAATATTATTAATTTATTATAAAGAAATATGTAGGAAAAGTTTAAACTTTCCTTTTTTTTTGATCTTTTTTCTAAAAAAATTTTAATAGAATTTTTAGACCACTTGAGAACAATCACAGTATAAGGATAAGACTTAATTTAATGATGAGTAACAAAGGAATGAATTTTAGTAGATGGCGCAAGATTTGTTAGCTTTATAGAGCAGCACCCATCAGAGTATTTATAGAAAAAAGAAAAAGAAGCAACATTAGGAGGATGTGACAATGGCTGAAGGTTGGCTGCAAGATCAGCTAACTATGTATACAATATGGTTTTGTACCTCATCTAAAAGAGAAAGAGCATTATTTGAAGATCTGATCCGATCTGATTTATAGAAATAAAGAATATAACTTGGTGTATGAAATTGCCAAGCGCAATAAAGAGATGCATTCTTAGCAGATGCTACTTTTCTGATCTTTCTTAAAAACCATATATCTCATTTGATATAGGGTTTCTAAAAACTAAGTAGATACCTGTTATAGTCTTCTGCAAGACTACAACAGGTATGTTTTTGGGACCACAAGCTTCAGAAAAGTCTAAGCAGTAAATCACTAAAGATATAGAAGCTAGAGTGATACAAATGTCGATCAATGGATCAACCTATTTGTTAGCTATATCAAGTAGAATGCGAATTGTGGAGATGAGATTGATAGAAAACTCAAAGCAAAAAATTGGGTAACAAAATTTGAACCATGCAAGAGAAAAAAAATAGCAGATTTGACCTCATTAAAAACAAGGTTAAACATTCTCCAGAAGTTTTTTGAGCCTAATTTTAGTAATAAAGTACAAGATTTAGTGACCTAAAAACAGAAGCATTAGACAAAAATTTTTACAATGGTTTCTAGTACTAGTAGATAGATGGTAGAAATAAATAGTAGACATGTAGGATGAACAATTATTTTACTAATTTATAAATTGCTATACCAGGGCTTGTGATGAAGCAAGCGCATTCAGCTTATAACGAGCGTATAAAATAACGTTCATCCAAGAGTTTGGGACAAAAAAATATTACGTTAATAAAGTAAAATAATAAAATGCGCAAATAAAATATGAATAGAAAATTAGAAAACCGTTATAAAAAAGTCGAAACTGCAGAAAATGTTTAATCTTGTGAAAATATTAAGTAAGATTTATTTGATTTATTGTTTGTAATATTCCACACATCGTTTATAATAAAAATAAATACTAATAATAGAGTAATTTTTAAAATTTGTTTTTGTTCATAGTATAGGTTTTTTATTAACTATTATTATTTTAACTCAAATTTAAAACGATACTGTTCTGTAGAATATTCGCAATCAAGGACATTCTAAAAAGAAACAAAGTAATGATGTTAACATTTACTAAATGGAAAGTTGAAGAGGTAATAGGCTTTAAAATTGAAATCACCAATGGATATACATACGTTGTTAAAATATACTGCAAAGTTTGTACAAGAAATAGAGAAGCAGTATTACAAGGTTGCTAAGGTTTGATACAACAATGTGCTGGGATGAACTTTGTGTCAATTCACACAATTCAAAGACATTTTGAAACAGCTTCTAACCTTACTGCTATAAGGTGTGAAAGTGAGAAACCCTCAAATGAGCGACGTGTTATGTCAACCGATGGAATACAAAATCCTCAAAGGTAATTAATAAAAAATCTTTGAAATAAAGATTTTTTATTCTTATTTACCAGATTCTAATATCTTAATTTTGAACTGTGTTAAAGGGTTGTTTAATGCAGGCTTTATCAGGAAGTCGCTCATCGACCAGCATAACTGGACTGGCAACAAAGAGTTTAACTTGGAAGGAATAAAGTTTTTGTCCACGCATTTTTAAAACACCATTGAAACATTTCAATTTTAATAAAAAATTAGTTTTACAAGAATGGAAATTATTTTTGATTCATTCAAGAACAAATCTTGAAGCAATGGTACGCAATTGCCAGAAATTCGGAGGTTGACATACTTGTACAAAAAGTCAATGTTTCCTAATTTATTAAAAGTTATATTGATTATCTTGGCAATTTCCGGATCAAACTCAAGCGTAGAGCAAATGTTAAGCACAATAACTAGCATATTATCAGTTTATCTATGAATCACGACAATCTAAATGATAGCATTATGATATTAAGAAAACATGGAAGCTGGTCAAAAAGAAGAAATAAACCTGATTAAAAAGCAAGCAAAAAAAAAAATTATTTGAATAAGTGATGAGTGGTTCAAGTTGATGATAATTCAGTTGACTATATGGCAATAGCAACAATATCGATTACAAATAAATTCTTGATGACAATAATGTAATAGACAGAACTGATAAAGATATGACTAATTTATTAGCTGCATGCAGTTTCGAAAATGTAGAAGAGGAAACATCGTTGACAACAGTTGAGGGGAAAATCTGTTATTTAACTTATAACGAATAGTTTAAGATGAATACAGTTTGATAATGTGTCATTTTTCTAAGATAAAAAAAACATAATTTAAACACGAAATTAAAAAAAAATATTAAGTAATTAATAATTAAATTGAATAAAAAATATCAAGAAATATAAAAACCATTAACCGTTAATTAAGTGTACAGCGTAACATTTTTAAATACATATATCAAAACAACATAAGCAAAAAACTAAAATTATACTTCAATACTAAATCAATAAGAAGTTGCGTTTTTATTTGATAGTATTTTTTTTTATCAAAAAAAGTTAAAAAAAAAAAATAGCGATCTGACGCAAACAATATGCAAGAAGTTTGAAAGTATAAAAATCTACTTCGTTGAAGTAGTTTCATAAGCGTGATACTAATTCCAACATTTTTTTACAAAAGAATGATGTAATAAATTTAAAAAATATAAAAAATAAAAAGCTTTTTATGAGCATCGCCATCAGCAATTTTCATAATTGCGCTCGCCGACGTTATATCGAACGCACATAATCACGCTTGACTAAAACATATTTTAATTTTACGAGCAGGATATAACACGCTTGACAATTTTCTTCATCGCAAGCCTTGCTTTACAATTATTTATAAAATTATTTCAGGTTTCATTCAATTATTTTTTTAAAAGGAAATGCTATTTTTTCAAATATCTGGTTTCAATAATTATGGCAAATGTAAAATATTAAATGTAATATCTAATTATAAATGTTATACAATAAAATTAGAAACTTATTAAAAAATTACTTAATTTTAAATTTTATAGAAGTTACAAAGAAGAAAAATTTATTATTTTATTTAGAAAGAATATAATACAGTTAGATGTATATTATTCTTGCAACAATGTAAAAAAAAAATTTCTTAAATTAATGTTTTAATATCTAAAAAAGATTTGTATACTTATAAGATACAATTAAAAAAATAAAGAAAATGAAAAAAAAAAATGTAAAAACTTTGATTTAAACTTTGGTGCTGTTTTATTTTTTTTTTTTTAATGTGATGTGACTCATTTAATTTTGTGACTCATCAAGTGTTAATAATAATCTGATAATAATAATACGCTAATTTAATAGTAGTAGTTAATAACGACTTACATCATTTTCTAGGCTTTTCAATTTTAAAGTAGTTTCTAGGCTTTTTTATACGCAGGTTTTTTTTTTAATTTTATTTACTAACAACCCGTGTTACGGGTTGCTTACTGCTAGTTATAATAAATAAAATAAAAAAATTATGTCAATAATAAAAAAATTTAAAGTTCTAAATCCCATAAAAGAAATATATATATAACATGTTTTGTTATCAAATTTATATCCTTAAACATATTTTACATACATACATATAATATATATATAAAACTCTTAATTACATCTTTGATACTACTGCACTTAAATTGTTTTGCCAAGTATAAGTTTTTTGTCAAGTTAGATGTTTCGGAAACAAAGCGTTAATAACAATTATAATAAATAGAAAAAAATATATATATATTTTATAATAGATATAATAAAAAAAAAGAATATAGTAAATCATAAGTAATTTTAAATAAGTCAAGTATTAAAATTACCTTTGTTAGCAGAAAATCCTGAAGATATTTCTGGTGAATCTGAAATCTCTAAATGATATAATAAAGTTCTTTTTACAAGCAAAAAACTTTAAAATTAACTTTAGATGTCGAGCTAATTTAAAAAAATCTGTAATTTATGAAAATGTTTTTTTTCTTTATAACTTTTTTCTGCATTAAATTGATATAGCATTACTAAAATTCTAAATCCTATAAAAGTGATATATAACATGTTTTGTTAAGAAATTTATATCCTTAAACATCTTTTACATACCTACAAATAATATATATAAAACTCTGAATTACATCTTTGATAGTACTGGACTTAAATTATTTTGCCAAGTAGAAATTTTTTGTTAAGTTAGATGTTTCGAAAACAAAGTATTGATAACAATTATAATAAATTGAAAAAAATATATATATATATTTATAATAAATATAATAATAAAAAAAAAGAATATAGTAAATCAAAAGTAAATTTAAATAAGCCAAGTATTAAAATTACCATTGTTAGCAGAAAATCCTGAAGATATTTCTGGTGAATCTAAATTCTCTAAATGATATAATAAAGTTCTGTTTACAAACAAAAAACTTTCAAATTAATTTTAGATGTCGAGCGAATATAAAAAAATCTTCAATTTATAAAAATGTTTTTTTTCTTTATTATGTAACAAATCATTTCTTTATAACTTTTTTCAGCTTTAAATTGATTTAGCATTACTAAAATTCTAAATCCCATAAAAGTGATATATAACATGTTTTTTTATCAAATTTGTATCCTTAAATATATTTTACATACATACATATAATATATATAAAACTCTTAATTACATCTTTTTTTAGAACTGCATTTAATTTGTTTTGCCAAGTAGAAGTTTTTTTGCCAAGTTTGGTGTTTCAGAGATGAAGAGTTAAGTGACGATTGAAACAACAATGTTATAAAAAGTCATTGTATGCCATTTAGGGATTTCCCGGATAAGCTATATGGCACAAATATTGGGCGTTTAACGTTAATGTCATTTGAAAATTAAAAGAAAACTAGAAATGTTTTAATTTTAATTAATGTAATGTTATTGGTTTCCATTTAATATTGTTATTATTTTTATTAGAAAACTAATTAAATTTATATATAAGCAATGAATACATTAGTCTATCACTCATTTTTATTTGTTTTACCTCAAAAGTGAAAAATTAATATTTCTAGCCTTGATCTTTTTTTCCCATAAATAATGAAAAATATCTTCCAAAAATACAGAGCATGCAGGTGGTTTTAGTAACTTAAGTGCTACCTCCTAAATCAGTAATTATTTTTCTATACAATCAAGTGATTAAAGAAAACCTCAAATCATTGAAAAGCAAAAAGAAGACTTGATCAGAATTCAATACATTTTAAACTTCCTTGTTCAGCTGAAGATGATTCAATATTTATCTATTTTTTATTTTCATACGATTTAAAATAAAATATTTTTGCTTGATGATGCAGTAAAGTTGTGCAAAGTGACTTCTGACCAGTTTTATTACATCCCCTGCTTATTTGCTATCCACATGAAATGCAAATTGCTGTAAAATCACAGCTAACATTATTTTTGAAAAGCTTCCTAACAAAACTCACCATTTTGAAGGTTTATCAATATAGTTTGTCATAAAAAATATATATATTTTAGGATTTGAAATACATTATCCAGCCAGATAATATTTGAATATCCGGGTATTCAATATCCTATTAGAAAACAAAAAAATATTATCCGGGACACCCCTAATACCAAATCATAGTTAGAAAGTGTGATATTTTTATGAACAATAGAACAACTTGGCACTGGGCAAAACATATCAGAAATGGCTCAAAGAAATGTTACTGATGCTCTTGCTTTATGGATAGACAATTTCTGATTTACGGCTGGACAATATATCCATTTTAAATCTGATCAAATCCTAGCCTAGTAAAACCATAAACAGAGGTTTCTAAACAGAACCCAACATCAACTGCACAACTGTGAAAAGCCATAATAAAAGCAAACATACAATGTGTATTAAACTGTAATTTTATTCCTAAATCTTCTGGGCTGAGAAATAAGTAAAGCATGACAGTACCAGGGACAAATGTTTATGAAAAAAAAGAATTTATAAAGAGTTTTTTTTTTTACATAAAAACTAGGACATTGTTTTCCTAAATATATATTCTGTATCTTATTTAGTTTTAGTTGAAAAACATTATCTGATCATTTAGTTGCTATAAAATTAATAAGTTTTAAAATTTCTTTTTTAAAATATTGATAACTATGTTAATTTCAATTTTATTCTTTATTTTTAAAGTATGTTGTTTTTTAAATTAAAACAATTTCGAGTATTAAATGGATTTAGATATAACATGAAACTAAAAAAACAAGGCCACTGTGTGTAGAAATAAACAAAACGATACCAAGGACAAAAACATAAAATAGAAGGATTTAAGAAGATTTTTTTTTTAGATTAAAATAAGGACATTAGTTATTGTATATTCTAAATAATTATACATGCTGTAACTTATTTAGATTTAGTTTAGTACATTATTTTCACTGTGTCTAGTCTATTAGTTGCTATAAAGATTATATTCATATGAAAATATCATTGTCAATAACTAAATTATAAAAACAGCATTATTAATAATTAGTATTTTATGAATTACTATAATCATAATAATTATTAATAACTAATAATTAATGGTCAGAAAAGTCCTTCACAAAATCAATATAAAAATTAATAAAAAAAAAAAGTAAAATTATAAATATAAAAATTGATATTTTTGAATAACTGTAAACTTATTATCATTTTAAATGAGTAAACCCAGCAAACATTGTTTTAGTGGAATTGCAGTGGACTTATGAGCATTTTTGAGTGGTTTATTAGAATTTCACTCAGCAGTTATTTAGTGGACCATTTGTAGCATAAACGGCATGCCAATAACATTCCAACATGTTAATAGTGGTCATCGGCTACCCCATTTTGGTGACTGCCACTAATTGTCCATTAAGTAACCGATAAGCAAAACTATAGTGGGCTGCTCAAAATGCCTATATAGGTCTACTGAAATTCTGCTAAAGATTTTATTTTTATCAATATCCTAATGAATAATATATTTTTAAATAAACGATCTAATATTCATATTTTAAAACAAAAATTTTACCATGTTTTATTTAACCCTTGTTAGAAACATAATATCAAAATCTATCAAAATCTAAAACCAAAAATACTATTTTATTTTTGTGATTAAATGAAAATAAATACAAACAAATTTAATATGCTTATTTTAGATTAAAACAAAAATCTTTGTATATTAAAAATTATGCAGCTCAGAAAATATTTTGTTAAATTTTGCATATTTTGTTAACTAACACATAAAAAAACTAACCAAAACAAATGTAATTATATATTTGCATGAATACATAAGTATCTTTCAAAACATTTGCATTTCAAATTGTGGATAGCAAATAAGCAGGGGATGTAATAACATGCAACAATTTTTAGCATTGATTGAGAGAAAATCTGAACAACGCGTCTGAATAACATGATCAAGTTCTGAATAAAAATACTGAATAACACAACTGAATTACATGATCAATTTCATTTTAATACAAACCTGGAAATATAAAAGCTAGCCAATGCTGTTATTAGTTTGGCAGTGATTATTTTTTTAATACAAATATTTAATCATTGTCAGCCTAAAGTTCTTCTATTCTAGGTTTGTGTAGTTTTACTGACTTTTTGAATCATTTTAAATAAAAAATACTTTCAAATTAAATTTACTTTCAACTTATGTTTATAGATGCTATTTTTATAAAGAAAAAAGACACATTAACAAAAAAAACATTAACTCATAATAAGAAACAAACTAATCGATCTTCATAAAAAAGACTTTTTTTCATTATATTAAATATAGTTAAAAAACAATTACTTGTGAATTCATCTACTTTTCTTATTAGATCCACTCTATTCATTTCCTTTAAAGCTGTTATCAACTCATCAAGTGTTGGATTGTCATTCATTTGCAACCATTTAGTTAACATTGAATATGCTTTTGCATTAACTTTTATATTTTCTTGATCAATCATGTCTAAATAATTTTCTTCAATATTTAACCAACGGCCAAGAGTTCTCCAATCTACTCCAACACTATCACTAAACTTTAATTTGAACGCTTGGCTAAAAACAGTGCTTTCATATTTTTTTAATATGTACAACATTGACCCATTTTTATGTTTCTACAAAAAAGTACAATATTTATTGTGATACCAGGATACATATATTATACATATAAAAAGTCTTAAGATTTTTTAAGATAATACTTTTAACTAGCTAAGATTGGCCCCAAAAAAATACGAGTCTTTGTATATCTACTCCAAACCAAACTTTTCTATACTTTTTCCTAATATATCCTAGCTTTCTGTATCCATAAAATACAGGTCTTTATCATATTCATATATCATATTCATATCTTTATTGGCTAGAAATAGATATGTAAATATTTATTTACATATCTATTTCTAGCCAAAAATTGCTATACCTATTCCTTATTTCCTTCAATATTTTTTAGTAAAATAATTTATTCTAAAAAAAAATTAAAGAGCAAAAAACTTAACATGTGCACCTTTTTGCGTAGTTTCACATCAAAATCGACTTTATAAGTTTATCATATCCTCTTGGCATTTACAACTATGACTTTATATTATATACAACTATTTACAATTAACGCAAATTGATTGTTAACAATTATATAATACAATTACACTTAATTAGAAAATTAATTCTAATAAAAAAGACATAAAACATCTAATACAAAAAAAATAGTTGGGAGTATTAATTTATTCACATTTGTAAGAATATTATTTACCTACTTTTTATGAAGTGATTATATATATACAGAGTCTTCAAAAAGTTTGTTGTTTTATCTTTCACCAAACTATTAATCTTTTCAAACTATTATTCTTTTTTTATTTCTTTCTTTAAACTATTAATCTAATTGCCTAATTATCAATTTTTTAAGTTAATGAGTTTATATATATATATATATATATATATATATATATATATATATATATATATATATATATATATATATATATATATATATATATATATATATATATATATATATATATATATATATATATATATATATATATATATATATATATATATATATATATATATATATATATATATATATATATATATATATATATATATATATTTATATATATATATATATATATATATATATATATATATATATATATATATATATGTCTATATATATATATACTATATATATATATATATATATATATATATATATATATATATATATATATATATATATATATATATATATATATATATTTCAATTATTCACCTCCCCATGGCTTGAGGGGGCCACTGCAGTCGAGGAGGCTACTCAATTTTTTATATATATATATATATATATATATATATATATAATATATATATATATATATATATATATATATATATATATGCACTCCACTGCAGTCGAGGAGGCTACTCAATTTTTTAAATATATATATATATATATATATATATATATATATATATATAATATATATATATATATATATATATATATATATATATATATATATATATATATATATATATATATATATATATATATATATATATATAGTATACATATATATATATATATATATATATATATATATATATATATATATATATATATATATATATATATATATATATATATATATATATGTATATATATATATATATATATATATATATATATATATATATGTATATATATATATATATGTATATATATATATATATATTTATATATATAGTTTTTTATGTTTATATATATATATATATATATATATATATATATATATATATATATATATATATATATATATATATATATATATATATATAGTTTTTTATGTTTATATATATATATATATATATATATATATATATATATATATATATATATATATATATATATATATATATATATATATATATATAGTATACATATATATATATATATATATATATATATATATATATATATATATATATATATATATATATATATGTATACATATATATATATATATATATATATATATATATATATATATATATATATGTATACATATATATATATATATATATATATATATATATATATATATATATATATATATATATATATATATATATATATATATATATATATGTATACATATATATATATATATATATATATATATATATATATATATATATATATATATATATATATATATATATATATATATATGTATACATATATATATATATATATATATAATATATATATATATATATATATATATATATATATATATAAACATAAAAAACTTTAATGTTCTCAAAACATCTTAGTGCTGAAGAATAAAAAGAAAACACTAAAAACTAATGAAACTTTAAACTTAAAAAATTATTACTCTTATCTTATTACTAAATATAAAAATATTAACGAACAAACTAATTCTAATGGTTTAAAAAATACGCTGACTAAGCGAAATAAAGTTTTAAAGTATTCTATTGAAATGTTTTTGATTTAGTATTATTCACAATTTGTTTTGAGATTTCTAACATAAACTGTTTTAAGAATATATTATCAATACTATGGCTCATTCTCGGTGCCACATCTACAAAGCCGTAAATCTTATACACTATTATTATTTGTTTACAAAAATAAATGTTTCAAACATAGATTATTTAAATTGTCAAAATTTTGAAAGTTTATTATAAATTATAGATTTTATTAGTATATTCTTTTTTTATTTAAAAAGTATGTATTCTTTATGTAAATGTAATTTTGTGTATCTGTTTTTTATCGTAATGTATCTTTTAAAGCAATTTTTATGATTTAATTTGTAAACGAAGACTTATTTAAACAAAAATATTTCCAATTTCAATGAAGTTAATAATAATCATTAAAGTTAATAAAACTTATTATGTAACAAATATATAAGAAGTTTCTGGTTACTAAACACAAACAACGCATACAAAGTAACTCTCGCATAAACACCACACCTAAGGTTACGACATAACACAAATATATATAGCAAACTATTAGTAAAGTTTCTAGATATTGGTTTAGTAACTCTAATTATTTTTGCTTCAGTTGCCATTCTTAAAAACTTGTTATACTTTTTTCTGTTTTAAATTCTAATTAAAATTAAAAAGCTCACTCACTAAACATCATCAGCGATATTGTGAAGCAGTATCTCTTCCTTGCCATATTGTATTTTTAACCTCTCTAGTTGATTTCAATCTAGGTAATTTAATTTCTTTAGTAATTCATTGATTTAATTATTTTATCTGTTTAACTTACTAAGAAAAATTGCTTCAAATATGTTAAACTTTTCAAACTACGCGAAACATAAAATAGGTATTAAAAAAATTAACTTTTTTATTTATAAAATAATTTAGCTTAAATAAAACTAAAACTTTAAAACTTTGTTAAATAAAGAACATTTCGTTGCGTTGGTTTGACAAGGTTCTAACTGATCCGTGAGTAGTTTTGAGCAAATCAATGTTAAAAATTGTTATATTCCTCCCATTAAAAAATTATTAAAATTCATCGATAATATTTTTTACTAGCATTTGCTATAAGTATTATACATATTCTCACTATGACAAGGTTCTAACTGCTGTTATAAAGGTAGTTGGAAACATGTTAGTTACTTTGAAACTTTGTGACTGAAGCTTTTAGTTACTTTAAATTTTTTAACTGAAACAATAATATAATAAAAAGCTAATTTTCATAAATTAGATTATTGTTTCAGTCACAAAACAAGGTTACAACATTTTTTTTACTCATTTTTTTTTTTTTTATACTACATTTTTTTGGAACATTTTAAAACCATTACATTACGTACATGGTTAAAACCCTTAAAAGTTTTTCATGTTTATTTTATAGGTGAAGAACAACTCGATAGTATTCTCTGTCCTCGAGAGGCATAAACGGAAATGCAGCTTTAATATTTTTTTTTTTAAGTCTGCAAGTTCCTTTGTACAATTTTGAATCTTTGGTTTTACATTCAAAATAGTGGAAGTTGATGGACTTGTTGCTGCATTCTTTCTGTTAGGTTTTTAATTGAACTTGACATTTGCACAGTTCATAGGTTCATTGCGATCATGGCTAGATTTGAAATGTATAATATGAGATGTTTGAGTAAATTTTAGAACAGTAATGTTAGAAAAAGGAACAGACTTTTAATTAAACAGCTTTGCTGTTACTGCATAATCCTTGAAGTCATGTGATTTCATTTGAATGATACGCTAAAGAATTTTTCTGTTAGCTTGTTTCAACATCCTTATCAATCCAATTGGACTATAAAAATCAGTTTTCCTCATGAGCTTTTCGATTTCGCTATGAGCATGATCCACCTCTTGGACGCATGAATGACCTGGAACGGAATATTTCATAGTGATTGAGTTAATGTTAGGATTGTCTTTTAAAAATTGTAACACAGCATTTGATAATATACTGTTCTGATTTTGAGAAACGCAGGAGTCAGACCAAGTAATTAAATCACTGAAGTCGTTTTCCTCTGCCACATCACTCAAAATTTTGCAAAAGGCACTGGCAAGATCATTACCGCTTCTTCCCGCCATTGATTCAGTCCATAATGCACAATACACTTTTTTGGTTGTTAAAAAATAAGCTGTCAAATTATACACGCTAAGCTTTCTCAGATAAAAAAGGGAACTAATTTCTGCATGCGGAGTCAAAATAACATTTTGAAGGTCAAAAAGTAAAACAGGACAAATTTTATCCTATTTCTCTTCATATTGTATATCTCTCATTTCTTTTTTAAAAACTTGATGTCTTTCAAAATCTTCTCTCAATTTTTCAGACATAGTATCAGTGTTTTCAGCAACTTTAAACTTCTCACAAAGGTCACATCTATCTTTTTTGGGAATGTGAAAACTAAGATTGAATTCGATGGAGAAAATATGGTAGCACGATATTTTTACTGGCTCAATATTTTCGTTTATACTTTTCTCTTTGTAAAGATTATACATTTTTGAAACATTAAGGTGAGACTCAAGGTATTATCTATTGGTACTTACACGACAATAATGTGACTCAACTGTTGGAAAAGATTTTATGCGATCCCTAGAATAGGGATTCGTTTGGAAACACGGTCTTAAATTGCTGGTTATAAAATCGCAATAAAGATTGCCATTATAGGCACCATCCACTATCTTAAAGCTTAAAATACCATATACTGCTATAGCGGCCATAAGACTTAAATTCTTTCCATGATTTGCTGGCACTGTAACAAAACATATTGTATTCTTTATAGAATAGCCATACTGCTTAGAAGTATGTAAATTAAAGCCTGTTTTATCTAGAAATGTTATTATTTATTAGAAAAGTTATTATCAGGAATTGAATTAATAGCCCTGCAAATCCTTTGTCTTAAATCAATGTTTTGCGGCGAGTTCCTTTCATTTGGTACTAAAGCAAGTTGTTTTCTAGTGAACTCCATCAACTTCAAATATTTAGATATTGTTGGTACAGATGCATTAATATTCCTTTCAACGAGAATGCTTCTTAATGATGCTAACGTATGATGGATCATGCTCAATTAACAATCGAATTTCAGATTTAAGTGTCTTGTCATAGGAGCTGCGCTTTCCTTTTTTTACTGAGGCGATTTCATCATTACTAAGTCTTTTACAGATTTTATCAGATATAGAACGTGTTGCAAAAACCTTTATTTCAACTTCTTCCGCAATATCTTTTAACTTCATTTCCTTAAGAATTGATTTTCTTATGGTTTCTATATCCTTTGTTATAAGTGTTCTTTTTTTTTTTCTCTCTTGTTTTCCATTTATTGATTAAAACAACAAAAAAAAGCTTGAATAATATATTTTTACAGATCTCTTCTTTGTTGTAAATAAACCAGATAAATTCCATAATTTAGGGTAATTACATAATTGAATGTTTTATGTTAATATATTAAACATTTAATTAACTAATTAAATGTTTTATATTAGCTTAAAATTTGTCTTATATTTTCTTTAAAAATGTTTTATATTTTCTTTAAAAAATATTTTATATTTTCTTACAAAATGTTTTTTATTTCGCATAAACCCTGTAAGATAATAAAGTATTTTGGTTGCTGCTACACAAGCGATAGTTTTTTTAATTTAAAGTTTTTAAAGTAAAAGTATCGCTGCACTCTCAATAATTTTTTCTTAAAAAATGTTTTCTAGTTTAAGAAAGAGAGGAATGAGTGTGAAGCCAAATTGAAAATTTGCCCAGCTGGATCATTCATTTATTTTTCTACCAAAGATAAACAAATTATTTTATGTTAATTTTATTTATCTAATTCATCTTACAATTATATATATATATATATATATATATATATATATATATATATATATATATATATATATATATATATATATATATATATATATATATGTAATTGTAATATATATATATATGTAATTGTAATATATATATATGTATATATATATATATATATATATATATATATATATATATATATATATATATATATATATATATATATATATATATATATATGTATAAATATATATATACATATATATATATTACAATTACATATATATATATATATATATATATATATATATATATATATATATTACAATTACATATATATATATATATATATATATATATATATATATATATATATATATATATATATATATATATATATATATATATATATATATATATACTAGGTTGGTTGAAAAGTTCGCGGAGCGGAAATGAAAAAACAATTTTATGATTCAAAAAATGACTTTAATCTTCAGTATATTCTCCCTTAAGAGCAATACACTTTTTCCAACGATTCTCCAATTCATGTATCCCATCTCTGAAGTGCGATTCCGGAAGGCCTTCAAAATACCCATTTACGGCTGCAATGACTTCTTCATGTGATGAGAAACGCTTTCCACGTAGAAATTTTTTGAGATGTGGAAAGAGGTGGAAGTCGGACGGAGCCAGATCTGGTGAATAGGGTGGATGTTCCAAGCGTTCGTACTTTAATTCGACCAATTTCGCCTTTGCAACATCGCTGATATGAGCAGGTGCGTTGTCCTGGTGATAAATGATTTTTTTATGCAGCAAACCAGGTCTTTTCTCACGAATTTTTTTATCCAACTGGTCCAAAAGATTTTTATAATATTCACCTGTTATCGTTTTACCGGTTTGAAGGTAATCTATTAATAAAATTCCTTTCGCATCCCAAAAAACTGATGCCATAACCTTCTTTGACGATTTTGACGCCTTCACTTGCTTCGGAGCTGAACAACCGGGTTCTGTCCACTCTGCAGTTTGTTGTCGCAGCTTCGGATCATAGTGGTAAACCCAAGTCTCATCCATGGTTACAAATCGACGCACAAAATCTGTTTTATTCTTTTGAAAACGGGCCAAATGTTCTTGAGAAAGTTTTACTCGAGTGCGTTTCTGATCCAGAGTTAGCGAATGCGGCACCCATCTTGCCAACAGCTTTCTCAGACGTAATTCATCGTGCAAGATGTGTAATACCCGTTCATCTGAGATGCCCACAGCCTCAGCAATTTCACGTTTGGTCAATCGTCTATCATCCATAACCATGTCATGCACAGCATTAATCGTTTCTTCAGTAGTAGCACTTTTTGGACGTCCAGAGCGAGGGTCATCTTCAAGGCTTGAACGCCCACGTTGAAACTCCGCAGCCCATTTGCATACTGTTGTTTTTGAAGGAGCATCATCACTCAACACATTTACCATTTCATTATGAATTTCCATGGGCTTTAAACCTTTTTTCACAAAGAATTTTATTACAGCACGATGTTCAATATTTTCATTTTAAAAAATACTATGACACGTCTAATTTCAATAGCTTGTAAACAAAGACTGAAATGACATATCGACTTGAAATTTTTTATGCGTTCATACGAAGAATGAATACGTTTAATACAGTTATAAATTTGTTTCTACTACTGCAACATAGGTGCCGCTCCGCGAACTTTTCAACCAACCTAGTATAAATATATATATATATATATATATATATATATATATATATATATATATAACCGAGGTAATAGCGAGAAAATGTAGCAGCACTTTTTTATATAAGAAATATCAAGGTAAGTGTATGCTGATATCAAACTTATGCAAATATCTAACTTTCTTCAAATTATGTAATGTTAAAAACATACAAAAACATATATCAAGTTTTTCAGTTTTACTTACGCTTGAAAATTGCATTGCGGCAATTTCCCTTTAAGATTTGATCTGTATCACTTAATTCTGTTTAATAAAGTTTTTAATACTTTATACACTTTTAAAATGATGCTAAACAAAAAGTCTGCTTAGAAGAGTAGTTAGCATGCATCGCTGTGAGGCAGGAGTTCCAGGTTCGATTCCTACCATTGAATTTTTTATTTATTGAAGAAGCTATAAGCTATTTATTGATGTAGCTTTTATTATATTTGATGGTATGTTGTTCCATGCATTTACAACTTTTACAAGGTTTTAGAAAAAGTGATATCTAAAGGTATTTTTGCAAAAAGGTTTTTTCAGTTTGAAATTGGTTTGTCATAAATACAGATCTTGTTGTATGAAGGGAGACCATGTCTGGACCACAATCTCAAGGTGTGGATGTATGAATGTTGTATAGATCTTTTTTACTATGTTTGCATATAAATATTTAAATGTTCTTTTTATGATACCTAACATTTTGCCTACTTTGCTAGTTACTGAATCAACTTGTGAGTGCCATTTGAGATCCGATTGAACCGTTAAACCTAAATCATGTTTTACTTCTGTGTTACTTAATGTATAATTACAATTGCAATCAATATCAGTTATTAGAAATGTAGCATATGGATTTTTTTTACTGATATTCAAAACTTCACATTTTTATGATTAAATTTTATGAGTCAGATAAATGACCAAGACATTATATCAGTAGTTCTAAAACTGTACCATTAATAACTTGAAGCCAACTGAGACTGTCACTGAGGAATACTCTCTGTTCTCTGTTAGTTAAAACGTTTTCTATCCATCTTAGATAATTTCTCACAATACCATATGATTGAAGATGATTGATCAAACCAGAGTGCCGAACTTCATCAAAATTTTAGCAAGTGGTAAAATCTACTAATTACAAATAATATTTTTCAAGAAAAAATAGTGCTTAATTTTCAAATAAAGACAAGGGAGAAAAATAAATCTAATACACATTTCTATGACAAAATTTTGTCATAGAAATGATGCATAAAAATAATGATGCTTAAAAATAATGATGCTTAAAAATGATGCAATAAAATGAAAATAAATCAAAAAATATATTTAAAAAAATAACTAAATTAATAAGTTGTAAGGAAGGCGATGTTCAAGCCTACTAAACCAATACTTAGTAAGTAACACCAGTTACTAAAGTTACAATAATAAACTAAAAATACAGCATGAAATTAGTTCTTTATTAATTAAACCTTTAAAGAAACTGCAATTTTTGCAGTTAATCACAACTGTAATGATACATTTATTTTTTTTTTTTAATTGTTATTAATTGTTATTAATAATAATTTATTTATTTAGCAAGTAAATACAACAACAACACAAGCAGGGGCTATTCTAGACCGTTTTCAACAGCATCAACCGTATATGGGCACCCATTTGGACACGGTATTTAGGCACCGCTCCAATTAAAATTTGAGGAGCTTTTTTTTTTTTACATTTTTTATGGCATATTATAATTTTTTTAGAAAATAAACGCCAATTTTCTCCGAAATTTCTCTGGGATGGAGGGTACAGCCCAAATATTTTTCCTAGAAATGGCCATGGCAAGATATTTATTATCCTTAAATAATAATAAAAAAATAATAAAAATAACAATAATAATAGTCATAATAACAATAATATATAACAATAACATAAAATAACAAAAATTATTAAAAATTGTAATAATAGTAATAATAAGTATGTTTACAAAATTACAATAAAATAATAACAGTAACAATAAAAAATATTACAAGAGAGGTTATAACATTAAATTATATATAATATTAAGTTGATGATTTATTAGGATGGTGTCTTTCATACAGATATCTGATCAAAGGAATGACATCAATTTTTTCTTTTTTATCACTAACTTATTTCTAAGTAAAGTTAAGGGTGATAACAAGATCAGATGGACATTATGATCAATTTAAACTTTTCTTAAAACTGTATTTTTATTTCAGAGAAAGAATTATTACTTTTTTTTTTTACCATTAAATTATTTTTAAGTGAATTATAATTAATAATTAAATGCATATACTTTTTAAGTATACTATTTGGCGCTACTGCAGTTTCTCCCCCCTCTTTTTTATTGTTGATTATGATAGAGAACTTTATGCTGATTAAGAATCGTATAAAAACATAAGTCATAAAATCAACAGAAAGTGCTATAATTCGACCTTGAAGTTTAAAAAGTTACACTAAATAACGCTAATATTCGCAACTTTTTTTATTCTCGGTTATATTAAAATTCTTTTCAAAGATGATTTTAAAAAAGCCTGGTTTCTATCAACAATTTAATGCAAAACTGTTAAAAAATGCTCAGCGCATCATTTTCTGATTTATCCCTTGCCCAAACCCAAACCCTGTCTCAAATCATGTACGTTTAATCGTGTCAATCCTTATTTGTCAGTCGATGTATGTGCATTTAGTTGTGCCAATCCCTATTTGTCAGTTGATGTATGTACATTCAATTGCCCAATCCCTATTTTTCAGTCGATGAGTGTACATTTAATTGTGCCAATCCCTATTTTTTAGTTGATTTATGTACATTTAAAAAGCAATATTTGAATTTATTTAAAAAAAAAATAGTTAAAGTTATATAAAATACATTTATTAAAACATTTAATTCAATTATAAATTAACTTTGATGACAATAAAAACCAGGTCGCCTAATTTAGAAAAGATTTTCTTAACGATCGATTTCAAAATGTAAACTTTGATATAAAACTTATTTAAAAAATGGCGAATATTAGCGTTTTTTAGTGTAAATTTTTAAACTTCAAGATCAAATTATAGCACTTTTCGTTGATTTTCAGACCTATGTTTTTATACGATTTTTAATCAGAATAAAATTCTCTATCATAATTAACAATAAAAAAGAGGGGGGGGAGAAACTGCAGTAGCGCCTACCATTTTTATGAAAAGTAAAAATAAAAGTGTGGATGCTATATCATACTTGACATTCTATGAATTGTCAAAATACACTTTCTTATAAAAAGAGATTATACTTTAGTTATCAAACAGAAATTTGACAATTTTAATATAATATCAAAAATATTATTATCAGCCTTGTTAAAATAAATATTTTTAATATATTTATTTTTATTGTGATCCTTCATGATTATTTGTTTTTTTTAGTACTAACATTTATTTATATCTGTCTTAATAGGTATTAGTATTAGCTAAACTATAGGTATTACCTGCTATACCTTTCTTATTAAGGAAAAAGTGTTTAACCTAGAACAAAATGTTGTCTTAAATTTTAGAATAATAATTTATTTCAATTTAAAAACTTTAATAAATTAAGATTGTTCTTAAAGTGATCTTTAGTTACCTTTCTTTACCCTATGTTTATTTATATTAAGGTTTATTTACAATATTTCAATACTAATTAGGGTATAAAAGTATATAGTATTATAAGCTCTGTTATCAAAACGAATTTTTTTATTATATTATTTCAAAGATATTATCAAAAAGTAAATTGTAAAATTGTAAAAAGTAAAATTTAAATATTTAGAGTGTTTATCTAAAACTTACAACAATCCAAATGTTTCAATTATAAAAGGAAGCACTTGTTAACTAAATTTATTTTGATGACAAATGAAAAAAATGAAATCTTGAAGGAGAAGTCTATTACACAATCGTAATTACTATTGGACTTAAAAACAATACCAAACACCCATTTATTGAGAGCCTTCTTATGTCACTTCTCATGTTACACTTTTTCTGCGATTTGTCGTAAAATCTATTTGTAATATATTCCGGATGAATACAAAAAACTTATTCTGAATAGTTATGACGGTACCAAAATTTCAGTATTCGGTACAGTCACGGAAAAAACAGCCCGCTGAGTAAACTGTCCGGCCTGATGTTATACTCCGGAGAAGTTTGTCCAATCCGTCCGAATAGGACAATTAAATCCGGAGCAAACTAGCCTACGTTTGAGTAAACTGTCCTATTATTTACTTCGGAGTATTTAAGCAATGTTGTTTAGCCTTTGTTAAATGTAAAAACTATATTTCTCCTGTAATTACAAATTAAAAATTTCTCCTTTAATAACAAAAACAATATTTCTTCTGTAATACTAAATGTAACATGTAAAAACAACATTTCTCCTGTACCTTTTCATAATTTGTATAACAAAAAAGAAAAAACTAAGTACATTTTACAAAATGATAATGACATTTGTCAATAAGCTTATCAAACTAGTTCTGAAAAATACTGTATTTCATTACTTTTGAATAAAATAGTTTTAAAGAATTTTGACTTTTCTCAAGAAGTTACCTATCACTCAAAAAAAACAGAGCTATTTCCAAAAATTTTTTAAAAATCAACCTAATTTCTCTGATTATTTCCAAATTTTTTTTTAGAAATCTTAATTTCCTGACTTTTCTCTGAATTCCCTGATCTGACATCACGCAATATAGATAAGATAACTATGTTGATACACTGTCAGCATATCAACAAAGTAAGCACAATCTTAGTTTAGATTGTTCTTACTTTGTTGATATGCTTTTAGATCAAACTTAAACAAAAAATATGTAATCTATATAGATTATATATGATTTGTTGATACACTGTAAATTTGAAATGCTACAATATTAGGCACATTTTTCATATATATTGAAATAGTCATAAATATTTTGAAACAATCGCATATATAATTTTTTAACCTTACTCTTTACTAAGTAGGACAACTTATTCCAATCTAGGACAATCTACTTCGGAGTAAACTGTCCGGCTGGACAGTTTACTCCGGCGGGCTGATTTCTCCGTGACAGTACCAATAACTTTCAAAATACTCGGTCTCGGTACCGAATTCGGTACCTAAACAAGGAAACAGTTATACTGACCACAAACCAAATTATAATCTCAAGTCTGTAATACAAGGATAGGAGTAGGTAGGTGGGGGGAGGGGAGTTTGGGAACAAAAGGAGGGGAAATTTTAGTCAAGATCTAAAAAACTAGGAAGAGGAAAGGGAGTTCTTTATGTTATTATAAAGTATTTTTTATAAAAAGTTTCAGTTTTTAAATCCAAACTAATATTTTTTACACGACACACATAAAACTATTTAGTTTTCGTGCGGCTTCCGGCACATTTTCTAACAGCTTTTTTATCATTTAAATAGGACTCAGTATGCTAATATAGATTTTATACGTTGGTGAGAAATAAAATAAAAGGTTATTTTGATAAATCAATATTTACTCGGTCGATGAATTTATAGCATATTTACATTAAATATTTTTGTTTTTATCAGTGTCTTGAACAACTATTGTCTAATTTTTAAGGCGATTTTAACTGATTTTCACCTTTTATTAAGGACTTAAGAGTAAGTCTGTATATTAGGTGAAAATAAATTTTTTGTCTATCAATCAAAAGCTCGTCGCGTCTACCTGTAAATGAACAAAAAGTAATAAAAATGGTAATATGAGACAAGGGAATTATCCCATTTTTACCCTTAAATATCAAACAGGTTCCTAATATTATAGAAAAAAAAATTCATCTTGGGTCTTAAAAGAACCGAAATTTTATAAAAATTTTAAGAACAATTATGTTATATAAAAAACGTCTCTGAAAAATTTGATTATGAAAAACCATGAGAAAAATTGATTTTTCTTATAATTTTGAAAAATGGCACTTTTTATGCATTAAAATTAAAATTAATAATCTAAATACAAAATAATTATTTTTGAAATTTTAATAAAATTTCGTTTCTTTTGAGACCCAACATGACATACATTTTTCAAATATATATCAGTTTGGGACCCTGTCTAATGCCTAATGGGGCACTTCCTGTAAAGCATTTTTTTAACCACTATTGTTATCATTCCTGGATTGACAAATATGTACGGTTTATTGTGATAAAAGTCATTCTTTTCTTTTTTGTCTGACAGTGAGTGTGAATCTTGTTGTAGCAAAATAAACTTTATGACACATTCCACTAATGTCCTCAATATAAAATATATGTTGATGAAGTCTTGGTTTACCATTCGTGTATATTCATGGCTTATTCCATATGATCATTTAATATATACAAAATATAAAAGATACATATTTCAGCGTCAAATCTGATTTCTGTTGTTACTTCGTTTAGCCTGTGTTTTGGAATAACTGATGTATTTGCATTCCCAGTGGGCACCGACCTAAAACAACGTCAACATCGGAACAACGTCAATATAAAAACGTCAGAACAATGTCGTTTAACCGACGTTGTATTGACATCGTGCGATGTCTTACGACGTATATTGACAAAAAAAAACATTAATTCATTGCAAAGCTTCGTGTGCTAATTTGCGTTTTGTGTTTGGTAAGTACATGATTCCATACCGTAAAGTTAGGTCTTCGCAATTGTCCCAGGACAGAGTTAACATAATTAAATTTTGCATTTATAATTTAATTTATGAAATAATTAAAATTCTTTAAATGTGGAGCACGTTTTCACCCGAAGATTAAATTTAAATTGGTAAAAAATTTATTATTAGAGATAATAATAATTTAAATTTATTAGAAAAAACAACATTGAGTAGAGGTAATACAAGACATTTTAACTTTTTTAGACAAAATATTTTAAATTTTGAATATAAAAAGCTTATGTTGATGTTTGTTTTATTACTCGTTTAAAAACATTTCTCAGGAATGAAATTCCTGAGAAATTTAAAAATTTAAAAATATTCCGAATGTTTTTAAACGAGTAATATAATATAAGCTTTTTATATTCATAACTTATAAATAAAAATATTTTGTCTAAAAAGGAATTTCCTCTACAAGCACGCTTTAAATGAAGTATCAATTTCCACGTTTGTATGTTTGTTACTGTTTAAATTTTTTTAGTTTTTATTTCTCAAGAAGGAAGTTGGGTTACTGTAGAAACATACGTTGAAGTACTTTTATTGATACATAGCTACGAAACAGAGGCTGTATCAACGTTTTCATGTTATAGTGCTGCTTAAAACTATTGAAATATGGGTATGACAATTTTAAATAAGTGTTTTTAAAATGCAATTGCTAAATTTTAATTTTCTTTTATATTTGTATAGTTATTATTGAAAATTTTTGTTGTTGTTGTTATCTTTAAAAATTCTTCTGCAAAACACCACAAAATAAGATGATTCAATATCATTTATTGGTATTCCCTTTATGGTTTTATGATGCAAAGTGCTTGATTGTATGCACAGGAATGATAGAAAAACCTCTTCTAAAGAAGTTTATAAAATTCATTTATTATTATAATATGTTTTTCTTTATCAATTTGTTTCTAAAATAGCTCCTGTATTTAATGATTATATGCCTAAACCTTTTATTTTTGTTCTTTTGTCTAATTTTCTTAATAGGTATCAGATCACAGTTTTTCAAAAAGCTATTTGCTATATTTAAATGTCTTGGTCACCAAGAAATTTAACTGTAATTTTCAAATAAAAATTTAGAAAGTTTAAAAGTTCCCAAGTTTTAAGGTTTTATTTCTTTGTTTGTTTAATTTATATTATTGAAATGAGATTTAAGTCAGTCCTATATTAACTAATCAAGACATACATGCATCAACTTAAAATATAACCAATTAATTTATGCTAATTCTTTTTAAAATGAACTTTGTTTAAGATTGCTGAGGATACTAAATTTAGAAGAGTGCAATTCTCAAACCGTATTAAAGATGCTTTGTCAAGAAATGAAGTAGTTTGGGAAAGAGGGTTTCCAGTTTGCATTCCTTCAAAAAGTTCTTATACTGGTCATTTTACTAGAGATGTAAGATTTCTTTTTTCTTTTTTGTGTATATAAAGTTAAATAATAGATTTTAAAAGAAAAAAAACATTAGAGAGTTATCCAAATTAATTTTCATTTATTGTTTGCCTGTTTTAAACATCTTAAAGTTAGTTTATTATTTCAAACATGTTGTTTAACATGTTTTGTCATATAACATTTATTAAATTTTAACATTTATATTAATATGTTTCCATTTATTTAACTCAACAACAATAAGGTTGTAGTAAATCTTAATTGCTATTTTTATTGCTGTTGTTTAGGAACTTTAGATTTAATATTGTTTAAAATAAGTATAAACTTTCTTGTGTTTAGTATATTTAGTATATCATATTTAGTATCTTGATCCAGATTACTTAAGGCCTTAATTTTAAAAGCCTGCTCCTACTGATGGTTTTGTTATATACTCAGTATGTTCTAGTACTATTCCTAATATATGCAATATTGTTCATACAAACTTCAATATTTTTACCAAGGGTGGGTTTTGTCACTCACCAAGGAAGTGGCTAAAATGGTTTTTAAAAGAAAAGGTCTGCATTTTTTCACTTGTTTTTCAATTAAAGTGACTTTCTTTTTTAACTTTTTGTACTTTAGTGTAATAATCAAGTTCATATATGTATAATTACCTATAATAGTCAATCCCAATGAGGGGGGGGGGGGCAACTACCCCCATGCCCCCCCTAAAACTCGCCACTAATTTTCACAGTCTGCTGAAGCTATTAAGTGTTTTTAAAAAAAAAGGTCTGCAATTTTTCACTTAAAAGTGACTTTCTTTTTTAACTTTTTGTACTTTAGTGTAATAATCAAGTTCATATATGTATAATTACCTATAATAGTCAATCCCAATGAGGGGAGGGGGGGCAACTACCCCCATGCCCCCCCTAAAACTCGCCACTGATTTTCACAGTCTACTGAAGCTATTAAGTGTATCAATGAAGAGAACTAATCTATCAATCATTTTTACAAGCAATCAATAAAATATCTC